CACCTCAGCCACAGCCACTAGGTGCCATGACAGGTCAGGCTGGCCCCGGGCTGGGGATTCTGAGAAAGCCTGCCTGGGCTCGTCCTGTTGGGGACAGCATGGGGTGGTGGTGCCCGTCTTGTAGGAAAGCTCAGGGGATGGAGTTTCCTTGGTGCCAACTGGGGGTGGGCACTGTGCTTTTAAAAGGGTGCTCCCTGGAGGAGCCCCACGATAGAAAACCAGAGGTGTGTCAGAGTGAAGAAGAGCAGGCTCTTCAGACACCCCAAAACTGCTCAGCTCTGGTATACATACGAGAAACAGGAGCCAGATGGCACTCAGCGTGCAGAAGGGCAGGGCTGAGAATGCCCTGCCAAGCACACCTGGCTTCAGAGCACTAGAGGGACGGACAAAGACAGTGAGGGGGCATCCCCCAAGCTCATCCAAAGCCATCTGAGACACAGCCCCACGTATACAGGCAGACACCGAGATGGGGACCATGGGTGGAGAAAGCCCAAGCCCTCCGAAGCACAGCCTGGGCTGTGACTCACGCTTGCATAGTCGTGGTCGCCGTGTGGAAGCTGAAGAGGTTCTCCTTGGGGAACCAGGTGCGGATAGGGACGTCATCTGGAGGGGACCCAAAAAAGCAGTGACCAGGGTGGGCCTGGGGATTCACGAAGCCCCTCACCTATTGGAAAAGGACGCTTCTGGCCGTGTGGTACAGTATGACCGCAGAGGCAGGGGGAGTTGTGAAGGTGGCAGGGATGTCATCCCTGTGCAGGGTCGCTATAGGGCCAGGAGCTGTGGGGCCTCGGTTTCCCTGGCACAGATCTCCCGGGATTTCTCAGGCTCTGGAACTCTGCCAGTGTGCAGGGCCTGGCGGAGGACTGGTCCATCTCCTCTGGGCAGAAAAGGCAGCTTGGGCCTCATAGCTGCTGCCTCTCCCAGGGGCGGGAGGCAGGCTTCCAGGACCTTCGCAGCTTCCGCCACCCACTCTGCTCACCAGGCCCTCCGCCGGAGTGTGAGGTCATGAAAGTGACCCCAGCCCCCCTTTCAAATGAGCTGAGGGAGATGGGTTAGAGAACCGTCAATAGGCCTAGGATAAGGTAGACAGGCTGGGCATACCGGCCTAGCCCTGACTCTGCCTTTGGCTGGTGGCTGTCCTGGCGCTGGGTGTGGGGAGGTTCAGCTGTGCCCAGACGGAAGGGGTTTGTCTGCTGGGGCAGGTCTGGCCCCAGGAGGCCCAGGAAGCACGCAGGAAGGACACAGAGTCCCCAGCTGGCTTAGAATTCTGCTCTGAGGGAGGTGACCTCAGACCCTAGAGGCATGGGCTGCTGGGGTGTCCCAGGAGGGCCTCTCTGCAGAGCAGAGCAGCTACAAGACACAACAGACTTCAGGGGCTCCACAGAATGGTACCCTGGAAGGGGCCCACAAGTTGGCCAGCCCCACACATGTGCTCTCCTGGGTTTGTGGAAGCCCCACCTGATGGCCCAGCTCAAGGACTGCTACCCATGACTCCCTCTGAGGCAGCCCTGTTTTCAGATTAAACAACACATTCTGCCTACACAGCCCTCAAGATCCTCCTAGGCCTCCCGCCTCCAGGAAGCCCTCCTTGATTGGCCCCAGGCTTCAACAGGAAGCCACCCAGAGGCAGGCAGACCCTTGCCAAGCACAGGCTTCACGTTGCAGGTCAGGGGCATGGGGGTGTGGCAGGACCCTTGGGCTGAGTATCATCCTGACTGCACCACCTGCCCCGTCACCTGGCCAATCATCACTTTCTCCCCGCCTCCTCGTGGCTGCATCTGGCAGCTGCATTCCCACCCAAGATGCCAAGCCTGTGAGGATGTGACCAGCCCTCACCGGACACACGGTCCACGCTGTACATCCTCTCCAGTTTCTTGCGGCGACCAGCGGGCTCAGGCAGGGGCGGCGGGTCCAGCCCAAAGGCCCGTGGAGAGGGGCCGGGGGCCAGCGGGGCACAGCCGGGACACTCTTTGGAGCCCTGGCGGCTGCCCGCCCAGCTCTGACAGGGCCTGCTGAGGTCGTCACGGCTGCCCCCGGGGCTGCCACGCAGGGTCTGGCTGTGGTGGTGGTGCCCGCCCTGCCGCCGTCCCTTCACCACTGCCAGCTCGATGGCTTCGGCCTTGGGGCTGGGCAGCAGGGCTGGTTCGCCTGAGATGGTGTACACTCGGGGTTCAATGCCCTCGCCCGCCGGCTTCTCGCCGCCCACCTCCTCAGACAGGCTGCCCTCATAGCGGCTGTTGGAGACCACGGAGAGACGCCGCTTGTTCTGGGGGGCCGGCTGCATCTCGGGGGATCCGTCGTGGCCAGAGTAGGCGTCGGCCAGCAGGTGGTCTGGGGAGAGGTGCTGGATGAGCTGGCAGCCTGTGGACCCTGTGTTCCATGCACTCTCCCCACCCCAGCAGGAGCCTGGCCTGATTCAAGGGCGGGGCAGGGCTGCCCCTCAGCCCACCCACCAACTCCTGGGCCCAAGCTGCGCACCTCTCTAACGCTCCCCACCCCCATCTGGCTGGGCCCAGGGCCAGCTAGCTGCCCCTTGTGTGTGTGTGGGGGAGGGTGGCAGCCCTCTGTGGTACTGCCTGTGTGGGGGTGGGCAGTAGGCCACCTCCTAGTTGCAAGAGCACCCGTTGTCCTAGTGCCAAACCCCCAGCTGGCCCCCAGAGAAAGTGGTGCCAGCCTGGGATGCCAGGAGGCCTGTTACCATGCCAACGCCCAGGCTAGGTGGGTGCCATGGTGATGAGTGACTCGGGCTCCTCTTGGAGCTCTGGGCCAGGCAGAGCAGGGGAAACGCCTTGGGAGTAGGCCCCTAATGAAGGGTTGATGTGCAGGCCCCAGGGCAGCCAGGCTAGCAGGGGGGACGGCAGACACCCACACACCTGGCTCTGCCTCCAGCACCCCTACCTGCGCCGTTGCGGTTCTCAGGGTGACTCTGGGACAGGTACTCTCCAAATGCTCTTGCTGCTCTGAAGGGTGGACAGCAGGCATGCGGTCAGAGGCTGCAGGAGCAACCCTAAAGCTCCCGCAGCCCATCAGTTGCTGGGTACCAGGCAGGGGCAGACGTCTGTGTATGCGTGTGGGGGGGGCAGGAGAGCCATCGAGACCCAATGACACCCCCATCACCCGCAGGAAGCTCTTGGGTGCTCTGGTGCCCAGTCAGCCTCAGGCTGTCCTTTCATCTGTTTTCTGTCCAATCTCCATCATCCCGGAGAATGGATGAGCTGGAGATCACTAGGTGTCCCGGCCCCGCCCCGCAAAGTGCAGCGGCCCCTTTCAACCCGGGGCCAACCTGCCCTTTGCCTGGGGGATGGGAAGCTGGGAGGGGCGCCAAATGAGGCGGCAAGGGGCCTGGGCAAAAGACACCTCGACAGGAACGCTGGGCGCGGGGGCGCTGGATTCGGAGAAAGATCCGATGGGGGAGGTGCAATGGGGCTGGGGGCGGGGGAGAGACGGGAGGGCGCGGTGGGGGTGCGGGGTGAGGACTCCCGAAGTCTGGGGAGCACAGAGGCCGCCGGCCCGCAGTCTGGGACGCCCTCCTGCAGAGAGAAGGGCAAGAGGACCCGCCGGCGGAGGGGACCCAGGAGAGGAGGAGCTGGGGGTTCGGGCCGGGACAGGGTGAGGAGGCGCGGGAGGGGAATAGAGTAGGGACGAGATGGGGGCCCGAGAAGGGCTGGGGGGAGCTGGGGGCTGGTGAGGAAATGGAGGCCCGAGGGGGGTTTGGGGGGGCTAGCGGCCGGGCTGGGGGGGGCTGGGGAGGAAATGGGGTCCCCAGGGGGGGCTGGGGGACAGCTGGGGGCCGGGCTGAGGGGAGCCGGGGTCCCGGGCGGGGACCGGATGGGGGAGGCTTGTCGCTGCATCACCGCCCCTCCCCGCAGCTGCACCCCGGGGGTCGCCGCCGCCCCCGCCCCGCCGGCGCACTCACCGCACTTTGGCCGCCACCGAGGACATGGCCTCGCTCCTCAACGCCCTCCTTCTGGAGGCGGCGGCGCCCATGGTCGAGGCGGCGGCGCATCCCCCAGCCTCAGAGCGCGCCCCGCGCCCGCCAACGCCTCCGTCGGGACAGCCGGGCCGCGCCGGGGGGTGGGGTCGGGATCCGGGACGGGACTGGAGTCGGGGTCAGGCACGAACCCCGCATGGCCGCGCCCGGCCCTCGCCTGCAGCCGCACCCGGGAGAACGGCCGAGCCGAGCGGGAGCCTCCGGCCACCGCGGAGTCACGGGCCTGGGGAGCCTCCGCCCCCTGACATCACGGCCCCGGGAGGCCCCGCCCCCTGACATCAAGGCTCTGGGAGGCCCCGCCCCCTCTGACGTCACGATCCCGGGGCGGGGACTCGGAGCGGGAGGCTCCGCCCCCCGAGGCTGGGCACCAGCGGGGTGCGCCGACCTGGGGGCCGAGGGCCTCGCGCGCCAAATCTGGGACTCGCACACCCGGGGCGCGTCCCTTTGCCCTAGAACCTGCCTGCACCACCCTGAGTCCAAAACCACAGGGTGTCCTGTAATCCTTGGTTTTTATACAGGGGGTTCTCGGTGTTATTCACACGATGTGGAGATACCAGTAAACGGGCGCATCTCGTGGGACAAGGGGTGAACCATGTGGGGCTCGGCCTTGGTTTTGGGGTGGCCTCAACCCAAGCACAAAGCCCAGTGCCCGGCTGCGAGACCCAGCGCTGCCCCAGGGGTGGCTCCAGTAGAGTGGCAGGGGGGTAGTCTCAGCCTGCAGGGAGACGGGCACAGCGGATCGCCCGCGGGCTGTACCCCACAGCTCCGAGTGCCCTAGGGGAACAGACAGCCACACATGACACCGTGCCAGCTCTTTAATGCGTTGGGCCGAAGCCTCACAGCTCCAAGGCCTTCAAGACACCCCAGGCTGCTGCGGAGCAGCGCTTAGAGGAACCGCGAAAAACACAGCCCGGAGCGGGAGAGGCCGGCCACGGGGCAGGCCCGAGCCATCACGGCTCCTCCTAGGCCGGGGAACACAGCACGGGGAGGGGCCCGCGCCGCCTCCGGGCTACCCATCCTGGTCAGAAAATGAGGATGGGGAGAAGTCCTGGGATGACGTTTGGGTGGCCAGACGGGGGCGCCGGCGCCGGAGCGAGGGTTCGTACTCCTGCAAGCAAAGCGCACCATCAAGGAGGGCCCACACTCTCTCTCGGGACCCCAGGGGCCACCCAGAGGCCGCCTCAGGGCCCTGCGAGGGCACAGGCTGCCCGCGGGCTCACCGAGTCCGAGTCCTCCTCGGCAGGGGCGATCTGGAAGTCGGCGTTCGTGTCCCGGGGGATGCACAGAAGCTCCTCCTCACACTCCGTCTGGTAGTCGGACTCATCTGGGCAGGGGCGGAGCACAGTGGTCCCTAAGGCGCGCCTCCTGCCCCTGCAGGGCTGGGCTCTGCTGGAGGAGCCATGCCCAGCCTGGCACACACGCAGCTGGCCGCGCACACAGCCTGCACCCCACCTGCGCGGCTGAGGGAGGTGAACATGGTGCTAACACCCCCCATCACGGTGGTCTCTCCTGATTCAGGCTCAAAAGCAGGCTCAGTACGTCGCAGGGATATGCCGAAACCTTGCCAGCCGCTGAGAGATTCCCACTCACAGGGCCCCAGCACCATACCACAGTGAGGGTTGGGGATTTGGAGCAAATCGGGCAGAGGCCAGGGGAGTCAGGATGGGGAGTCACACACTCTCCTGAGCCGCTGAGTGTTAACAAGGACCAGGAAGCCCCAGATTTGGCGGGGATACCCTCCCTGAGGGCGGGACCAGAAGGGGCCAGGGCCAGGAAAGGGGCGGGCCCTAGGAGGCCGAGGGGACGTGTTCCTGGAGTGGGAACAGGCTGAGGAAGGTGGACACGCCCGTCTGAGGGGCAGGGAGCGACACCCAGGGCTGAAGGCAAGGTGGGGAGCCCCAGCCCGTCCCAGCACTGGGCCGAGCAGGAGAGACACTGTCCCTGACACCCTCACGGTGGTAGAAGCGGCCACTCACCGTCCACTGTGGCCACCTTGGCTGGCTCGATCCTGGACACAATCTCAGCAAGGTCCGTGAAGGAGGCGTTGGGGCAAGTGAGGACCTGGAGGGTCAGGGCGGGAGGTCTAGCAGCCCCTAGCCCTACTCCCATGACCCCCAATGGAGACATAAGAGTAGCCCACCCCCACCCCTGTGTCTGAGCAGCTCTCCTGCCCCAGGTGGGGTGGGGGAAGCTAATACTCAAGTAAGGACCTGGAGGGTCAGGGTGGGAGGTCTAGCAGCCCCTAGCCCTACTCCCGTGACCCCCAATGGAGACATAAGAGTAGCCCACCCCCACCCCTGTGTCTGAGCAGCTCTCCTGCCCCAGGTGGGGTGGGGGAAGCTAATACTCAAGTAAGGACCTGGAGGGTCAGGGTGGGAGGTCTAGCAGCCCCTAGCCCTACTCCCATGACCCCCAGGTGGGGTGGGGGAAGCTAATACTCAACCCAAGGGCAAACGGTGCAGGGACAGCCTAGGGCACTCACAGGTCTCTCACCGTGTCCCTCAGGTATGTGGATGCAAGGACCACAGGGAGGCCCAGCATGGAGGACAGGGGTGGGTGGAGAGCCACAGAGGAGGGACCAGGGCCACTCACATTGCAGGCCTTGGTCTTTGTCTCCTGCCTGTCCTTCAGCATTTTGTCCAGCACACCACTTCTAACCCAGATGTCAAACACTGTCCGTCCATGCTGGTATCCCACTTCCTGTGCAAAGCAGGGCCTCTGTCACGGGCTAGAGACCCTGTTGGGACCCACCTCCCACGCACATGCAGGGCCTATGCCAAGGGCTGGGGACACTGCTGGGACCTACTTCCTATACATACCCAGGGCCTGTGTCACAGGGCTGGGACCCTGCTAGGACCCCTTCCTGTGCACACCCAGGGCCTCTGTCATGGGTTGGAGATGCAGCTGGGACCCACTTCCCGTGCACACCCAGGGCCTCTGTCACAGGCTGGGCCCCTCCCCTGCCCGAGTGGTGACACTCACGCAGATCTCGTCGAACTTGCCAAAGTCCAGGGTGCCGTAGCTGTCGATGGGGGGGCGCAGGTACTCACAGTAGTCGCTGTTCCTCACCATTTCCAGCTGCCGGACGCAGCACACATAGGCCAGGCGTGTCTGGATCTCTGCCATGTTCAGTACCTGCATGGCGCAGTACCTGGGAAGATGCTGCCTCTCGACGCTGGGCCCCACATGGGCTCTACTCCACCCTCCTCACCCCTCCCCTCCCTCAACTCTGACACAAGGGGAGGCTGATTCCTTGCCAGGAGGACAGGACCCTCTGCCCTGAGGGGAGTGAGGGCAGAGGACTGGCCAATACAGGCTTCTAGGTCTGGGAGGCTCCACCATGGGTCGTGGCTGAGTGTGTGCACCTGGGGGTGGGGTACGCATGTGGAGGGACATGCATGTGGAGGGGTGTGTGCAAAGGGGGGGTGCATGTGGCAGTGGGGGTCCGCATGTGGAGGGGCATGCATATGGAGGTGTGTACACTTGGGGTATATGTGCATGTGGGGGTGCACACTGGGGTGGGGGGTGCATGTGGAGGGGCATGCATATGGAGGTGTGTACACTTGGGGTATATGTGCATGTGGGGGTGCACACTGGGGTGGGGGGTGCATGTGGAGGGGCATGCATGTGGGGGGTTGTGCATACAGGGGTGTGCACACGGGGAGGGTGCATGGGGTATGTGTGTGTGGCTGGCATGTGAAGGGGAGCAGGCAGGCAGGTGCTCTGGCAGGGGCTCCGGTGGTGTGTCCTTGTGAGTGTGGAGGGCTCTGCTATTCCTCTCTGCTCCCACCACCCAGATCCTTTCCCAGGATTGTCCCTCTTCCTATTGGTGGCACCAGGGCTTGGGCAGGAGCGTGAGTGACCCTCAACCCCCAGATACCAAGCCTCAAAGGCGCCCCACCCCAAGCACAGGGGTCAGCAGAGCACCACTCTCTCGTCAGCAAGGGGCAGCCCATTTAGGTCCAGGCACAGGAGGGCGTCAGGGGGCTGACAAGGAGACCTTGGTGGCGCCCAGTCTAGACAGCCGCCGCTCCCCAGGCATGGCGGCCTGAGGCGGATGTGACATATGCTGGTCCTGTTCAGCCTACATCTGCCCACCTTGACTTTCGTGGCCAAGGGGTTCCAGCGCTTCCACAACAGCCACCAGCCCGACAAGGAGTCACCGTAGTTAGTGAGGTCTGTCTCGTCCTGGCTGCCCACATCGATGGCAATCACCACCTTCGCCCCCATGGACCTGGCCACATCCGCTGTGGGGAGATGAAGGCCACGGTAGCATGGGACAGGAGGCCTGTCCTGGGAGGAGCCCAGGAGTCAGGGCAAGACCTCACCTGCACAGAGGGCCTCGTGCACAAAGCCACCCCCCATGCCCCACAGGTGAGAGGTGTGGCCAGGAAAGCGGCACCGTGCAGCCCGACACCTGAAGGCCTTTAATTTCTGACAGCGGCACAGAGGGAGCTAAACGCTCCCCCATGCAGTGCATGGCCTCGTCTTGGCCTCCTTTCCAGGTGCCGCTGAGCTCACCAGCAGAGCCATATGGTCAGCCACGCTGTCTGTGTGCATGCATGTGTGTGCGTGTAATAGTGTGTATGTGAGCTTGTGTGTGGGCTGTTAGCATGTTGACTATGTGCGTACGCACATGTGAGCTGTGTGCACATGCATGTGCACATGTGTGTGCATGCTCTCTGTGTTCAGTGCCAGCCCGGAACCTTCCCTTGGCTCACTCTGTGGAAAGCGTGTGTCACCCCAGCCTTCCAGAAAGAGAGACACACAGGGCTGTGGGCAGGGCGTGCCATGCCAGCTGGGCCACCTACTGGCTGGGTACCTGGGAGATTGTTGATGTAGCCCCCGTCCATCAGCAGGTGTCCATCTTTGGGGTCGCAGAGCGGGGGCATGTAGCCAGACAGGGACATGCTGGCACGCACATATCTCCACAGGGAGCCTGGGGGGGAAGGGTTAGATAGGACAGGTGAGGGATCTGCTGAGGGGCCCTGGTTATTTCCTGACCTTGGGGGTAGCACCAGACTCGCCTCAGAGAGCCCTTGGCCCTGACCAGTACACCTGTGACTCATGTGTGTCCCACCCGTGTGCCATGGCCCTCCTCTGCCTGTGGAAGCTAGGTCTCCTGCCTCCTGGGAGCCGGCTCTGAGCCGCCCTCACCGTCTGTGTGGACCCGCATGGCTGAGGCCGTGATGTCTGTGGTAATGGTGAAGTAGGGCAGCCACAAGTCCTGCAGGGAGAGGGGGGTCAGAGGGGCGGTGCGAGGGGGGGGGGTGCCTGTGGACAGGGCCTCCAGCTGGAGCACTGCAGGGTCCTCCTGCCACCCTCAGGCCAGAGACCTGGCAGGGGTAGGAGTGCTGGGGGGGCACCTCTATTTGACGGTCTTTGAAGACAGCGCAGATGCCACCGTTGAAGGCCGCGCCCGAGAACATGGAGGTGATCGGGTAGGTCAGGTCCAGCACCATATTCAACATGGAGGTCATGTCCTGGGGAGGGGTGGGCACATGGAGGCCTGCTGAGCTCAGCTCTACCCCAGGGGGCTCGAGTCTGGGCATGTGAGGCTTCTGGGGTGACTGTAAGCATGCACCTCCATGCTGGTCCATTCACCCCCATCCCTGCAGCTTGGGGGGGTCACTGGGGGGTAGGAGGTACCAGGTCCACCCTCCCTGCTGAGGAGCTGCCCCTGCTCTTCTGAGCAGCCACACTGCAGGTGACAAGGGATGCATCTCAGGGACAGAGCATCCGTTATTTCTGGTACAGAGGAGTGTCTGTGGTGGTGCCCTGGGGCCTGGGCTCCTGCAGGAGTGGCTGCCACCACACAGACAGTGAGCAACTCCTTTCTTCTCTAAAGGAGAACACAAACCCCTTTGATCCCACTCATGGCCTCAACTAGAGCTGTTCTGTTCCCGTAAAACAAGCACATCTCTCAAAAACCCACCCAATAGTCCGAGGACCTGGGGCGAGGTGAGCCCACCCTCCCTCTGCTCTGCATTCTGCTCTCTGCCCTGCCCTCTGCTCTGCGCCCTCAGCCCTGCCCTCTGCTCTCCTCTCTGCCCTGCCCTCTGCCCTCTCCCCTGCTCTCCGCCCTCTCCCCTACTCTCTGCCCTCTCCCCTGCTCTCTGCCCTCTCCCCTGCCCTCTGCCCTCTCCCCTGCTCTCTGCCCTCCGCCCTCTCCCCTGCTCTCTGCCCTCTCCCCTGCCCTCTGCTCTCCTCTCTGCTCTCTGCCCTCTCCCCTGCTCTGCTCTGCACTCCACTCTCTGTGCCACTAGTGGCAGCCCACTTCCCATCACTAATCAATGTTCTTTATTTCCTCGTTACCCAGAAGTAGTCTTCTCTAGGGATTTCTTTCACACCACAAAGCACACTGAGGTCCGAGGGGTACACAAACCCAACTTCCTCCTTAGCAGGGGTGATGTTCCGCTGGAGACCAGAGCCCTGTGGAGCTGTGACCATCCCCCTGCCCTGCTCCTTCCATGGTGCTTGGTGTCCTGTCCTCACCTCTGCCCACTGCTTGGCCCGGATGCGCATCCGACTGTAGTTCCGTTCCTCAGCGTACAGGGCCCCCATGAAAGCCCCAATGGACGTCCCTCCAACCATGTCCACGGGGATGCCAGACTCAGCCAGGGCCCGGACGATGCCCACCTGGGAACAGCCCCTACATGACCAGGATAACACACAGTGAGCCCTCGAGCTGTGCGCCCAACCAGGACCCAGCAGCATCCTGGCAGAAAGCTCACCAAGACGCCACCTGCCCACCTGCTCACAGGAACGGCCCACCTGCTCCTTGATGCCTGGCCCTTGAACAAGCACAGATAATGGAGAAGATGCGGCCTCAGGGGGCGGCTTAGCCAGAACTCCCCAAGACATAGCTTAAAGCCTCTCTCCGCAGTCCTGCAGGGCCTACACCGGGCACAGAGGGCCTTCGGGAGCACAAGCCGCCACTTGAGCCTGCCCTCTGAAAAACATCTACTGACTCCAAGAGCAAGCACCTGGGGGGTTACAAGGCAACAGCTGGGGTTCAGGCCACGGGAAAGGAGTCGTCCTGGCAAATGGTGGCAGTTAGGACCTTAGGCCACATTTCCCCTGCCAGAGCCACTTGGTCATCAGTTAAGTTTTACCAGAACACAGCCCCAACCCCGAGCCACTATTGTCTATGGCTACTTCTGCCGATGTCACCTCACTTTCTATTACAGTTTGCGTGGTCTGTTCAGTCAGTGCTTTTACTTTTTTATTCCTAATAAGGAAATAAGTGTTAAAATCTTATTCTGCTGCTGTTGAGAATACACACAGCAGAACAGACACCACTTCAACTGTTTTCACATTTACAGTTCAGAGACGCTGATCACACTCTTCAAGTTGGCCACCTATTCTCACCTCCTTTTCTGAGTTGTTCCTTCCCCATTAACAGAAACTCACTGCCCCCTAAGGCTCCTGCCTCACCTTTCCAGCTGCTGGTGTCACCTGGATCCAATGCAACTAGTTCTTAAAAGAGTATAGTGCTCAAGACAGACATGGTTTGACTAGGGAGGCTAACCTGTTACTTGGTTTTCAGAAGACTTTGGGGGGTAATTTTGGTTTAAGTTTAAAGATTATCTCAGGACAATAGTTTCAGGGGTTTATCTAGCCTCCATGGCTCCAGAAAGTCTAGAGTCCATGAGAATTTGAAATTCTGTTCTGCAAGCTCTCCCTCCTTTTGATTAAGATTCTTCTAGATAATCTTTGATCAAAATTGTCAGTAATGGTAGCTGGCCACCATCCACTTCTTCTGGTCTCCTGGCAAAGGAGGCCATTCACGGAGGCATCAGCCACACGTTCCATCTCCTCTTCCTGACCTCTTCCTCTACAACTCTAGGTGAACAGAGAGGCCATTTGAAAGCTTTGAAGCAACTCCCCCCCAAGAAACCTGATTACCATCAAGTTGGTTCCAACTCATAACGACCCTATCGGACAGAGCTGAACTGCCCCTTAGGGTTTCCAAAGCTATAAATCTCTACAAAAGCAGACTGCCTCATATGTCTCCTACAGAGTGGCTGGTGAGTTTGAACCAGCAAAATTTTGGTTAGCAGCCAAATACTTTAACCACTACGCCACCAGAGCTCCTTCTTTCAAACCCCAGGCACTACCAAACGACATAGGAGGTAAACAAAGCACTAAATACATTATTAGGCCAATTAATTGGAATGTCACATGAAAGTATGACCCTAAACCTCCACAGCAAAGAACCAATCCCATGAGGTTCTTTAGTGGTACATATGCAGGCCTAGCAGTTATTCTTTTTTGTTTGGTTGTTGTTTTTGTTATAAATATATCACACATAGTTTGCCACTTTGACTTTTTACAGGTGTTCAACTTATCCAGAGCAGTTACAATAATCAGCTGTAAGCCCTACCTCTAATCACTGTAACCCTGTTGCCCCTCATTTTTGTATTTTTGATTGTTCTATATCCTTTGAATGACTATGGCAGAGATTGTACAGAACACAAAGCCTAAAATATTTAATATCTGACATTTTACAGAAAACATTTGCTGATCCATTAGTCAGAAGAAAAAGTGAAATTATAATCAAAAAGAGTAAAATGAAAGAAATAATAAAGAGCAGAAATCAATTAACTGGAAAACAAACGAGTATTAGCAAAGCTAGAAGTTGGTGCTTTGAAGGGACTACTTCAACTGGTACCACATGATAAGACAGAAAAATAGAAGGTATCAATACCAGGGATGGGAAAGGGACACCGGGACAGCTGCTTCAGCAGGAACTACCTCATGATACAAACAGGAATATTTAGATGAAATGGACATATTCCTAGAAAAACACAACTTACAAAAATGGACACAAGAAAAAACAAACTCTGAAGAGTATTATAAAATCAAAGACACTGAATTTGTCATTTTAAATTCCCGTAAAGAAAATTCACAATCAGATGATTTCACCAGTGAGCTCTGCTCAACGTGTAGCCGTCTTCCAAATCTCTTGGCACAGCCAAGTGAGTGCCTCAGCAGGGCATCCGTTTGTTGGAATGTCTCAGTGGCTATTC